TCCAATCAGAAATCAGAGTCAGTTATGCAAAGAGCTGAGCAAAAAGTTAATAATTATGGCACCAGCTTTCAGCCACACAAGTGAAAGTTTTTATAATATATTTTTATAATAAGAAGTGATGACTCCAATGAGTCGATCTGAGCTGTCATAAAGTTTAAACAAAAATTGGAAAATTCTTACCTGTCACTTGCTGGAGAAAATTGCTGCTTTTCCTGCACATTTACGTCTTGGAAGAGTGAAGGGATGTTGCAGCAGCAAAGCAAGGTCTTCTGTGTCTCCGTGGTTCACAAGAGAAGCTCACTCTGCTGTTTCTGTAGGGAATTTGGATGGCACCTCTCTCTCTCCTCTCACTCTTTCTCTCCCCTTCCTTCCTTCCCTCCCTCCAACTAAACCACTAAATTCTGCCTTACGCTGCTTTGAAGATCTGGCTCCCTCTGCTGTTCTATGGATGTGTAAATTCTACAGATACTTGAGATAAACTGCAGCTTCAAGAAAGAGCTACAGAGCTGTCTGAAGTACAACACATGTCCATGCTGCGCATGAGGGAATAGAACCTATTTCTGGCCTCCTTGTCACAGCAATATTTCTGCAGGATTCAAAAATTGTGCCTCATAGATGTAGCTAAGTTAATAGTTTCATTTTTCTCTGTTTTTTCAGTCCACTACAGGCTAGCATTGCAAATGTATTTTAGATGGATTCAGGCTTTAAGTCTTAAATATCCACCCTGTGAAAGCCCAAGAGGTACAGCGTAATTCAAGTAAAGAACTCAGAAATGTTAGGCCTTGAGAAATTAAAAAAAAAATACTGGAGAAAAAGAATTTGCAGAAGTGCCAGTTCTCGTTGATTCTTTCTCCTGACCTTTCTTATGAAAACCCAAGGCAGAAGTTAGAGTCACTAATTTTTCTCTTGTCTTGAGAAATGAACGAACAACAACTCCAAGAGCCATACCAGAATAACATAATTTGCACATATACTTAAGCCAGCCTTTTACCTGTGGTTGGCTGCTTAACTAGCCCAGTAGTCACTGCTGCTCTGAGGGCTTTTTTAAGGCATGATATATAGTTGAAGGAAATATGCATTTTCATATGGAGACACATAGAACATCAGCAAAACCCAAACATTTCAGTACCAACTAAACTAGCAATGAGAACAGTTAATGATTTGCACTGTGTTCTTTTTTTCTTTCTTTTTTTTTTGATACAGCTATGAGGTGACATGTGGCTGTCTACATTCTTAGCTGACATCTTCTATCATCAGAGAAATAATCAAATCATCAGCATGTATTTTTAAGGTCTTTCTATGGCATTTTGGCATTTCTGGTGTGCAAGTGGAATCTGTGTGATGAGCAGTGAAAGCTAGAGAGTTGTCTGTAATTACCAGTCCTTTCTTGTGGCAGTGCTCAAGTTGGTCCTTATTTTGTATTACTGCTTTTTTTTTTCCAGCCTCCTTTTCAGCAGTTTTATTTACCATCTAGTCTGAAATAGCACCCTGTATCCCAGCATCCCAGACCTTTACGCAGGCTCCTTTCCCTTCTGCCTAGGTAAGGGGGCATGAAAAGTCAATGCCTGCAGCTGAGAAGGCAGCAGCCCACGCAGATCTTGAGTGCCCTGCCAGCTCCTGGGGAAGCAGAGGCTTCCAAGCTTACTGAAGCCAGAAAAACTGAAACAATTTACTTAGCTGGCCTGTTCACTTCTGTTTCTTCCCTAATATATTTATCATATGTTTATTTGTGCTGCTGTTCAAAGCATTAAAGAGAAGGGAGGAGAACCACTGGGACCCAGACTGTCCTTTTACAAGAGGACAATTTGATTTGTGGAGCCGTTTTCTCTGCCTCCTCAGCTTGCAGCACACTTTGGCCAGTCTCATCTCCACACCTTCCAGAGTTGCAGATATGCTGTGTCACTTTTATTCCCTCGATTCAGAGCTTTAGGAAGAGCCTGCAATAGCAAATTAGCATCTGCTCTCATCTTAAAGTCAATAGCAGCTGCAGCACTGCTTCCGAGAGCCTGCTCAGGCCTCTGCAGCCCTGCAATCGGGAAATGACCTAACTGGGATTAGTCTGCTGTGGCATCTGGGACTTTCTTCTTGACAGGTCTTTCAGATGAACTGCTATATCGAGGTCTTGGCCATTTTCTGGTGAGGTGAGTGAGGCTACGTTAGAGTCCTGTTACACATACCTTTTTTCTGTTCCCTGTCCAAAGTGCACAGAGAAAATATGCCCTGTTAACAAGCTGATGGAAGAGCAGCATTTGTTTGAGTCCAGCTCTCCACAAGTTTTTGCAGCTAGGACTTGCACAAACACACATAGTAGTAATTGAGTGTAAGCAAGATACCTGGTGATGCTGGGGCTGCCGTGCCACAGCTGTCCTGACCCCGGCACAGTGGGGACAATACTGGAGCTGGCTTGGAGTGAGAGCAACTGCAGCAAGACAAATGTGCAAATATCTGTTTCCTTGCTTAGATGGGTCTTAGAGCTTTGGGTCAGCCCTCTGCTGAATTACTGGTACCTGAGATGGCTGGTTTTAGGCTGGTGATACTTCATTTCGCTATACAACCAACACTACTGAACAGTGAACCTGTGGACAGTGTCTGTGAGGATCCTGACCTGCTAAGCCTTTTGGCAAATGCACAGAGTGCATAACGATGGAGATTTCTTTGTACGCAGGAGATTTGCAGTTGGAAGGCAACAGGTAAATACAGTGGAACCAGCTATTACAAGTCATGTGCCATTCACACTGAGTATTTCTGTTCATTATCAGTAGATTTGCATTGATTTTAGCAACCAATGGACCAGCCCCTGTTTGCTATTGATAGGGAGAGGGGTGAAGAAACAGTAGCTGGCATGGCATGGAACCTATCCTACCACCAATGAAGTGATAAGAACACATGCTGCAATTTTCTGTCCACAGCACATGTTCCTGTTACAGGCAGGTACTTGCATGCTGTTCTCTTTGCTCTATGGATTATTACATAGGGCAGGTGGATTCTGTGCAAACAGGCTCTTCCAAGGAGGTACAGCTGCATGGGAAATTGTCCTCTTGGTAGTGGCCAAAGAACATCTTTCTGAAAGAGATTATAGGGATAGCATGAAACACTTGTGGGCTGCAAGTATTTCCCTGGGAGAGCGGGGTATTGTCATAGCTCTAGCTCATAACTGCACCTTTGATGCTTTGAGAGGCTCTTCAGGGGCTCTTGTGTCAGGCTAGCCATACTAGCCTTCACACGTGGAGCCCCAAGCTCTGTCATTTTTTTTTCCAGTGAACTTGGAGTTTCAGAGGCAAATCTTCTTGCAGTACATCTAGCAAATCTAATTGTGGATTGGCATCTGGAGTCCTGCTCGCTCTCTGGCACTGTTAACCTCACAAAGGAGAGTTCTAGGTAATCAAAGGCTAATTTATCTCCCTAGGATGGTGTTTTTTTTTTTTTTTTTGGACTGTTTAAGTGATGTTCATGTCTCCAGGAAAGCCGTGTAACTCCTGTCTCCAACTGTAACCAAGCCCTTGTAAATGCATCTAACTCTTACGAAGTTGATAGTGTCATCCCTTATTGGCCCCATGTGTCTGTGATTCCCTCTTTCCAAGGTCTTGCCTCTGTCCTGGATCTTATAACTCTATCTCAGCCCAGGAAGAAGACACAGTAGCAACTGATGCCTCATAACAGTTCAACAGCATTTTAAGTTTAAAGGTCTGCTCTGAAGTTTTTTAAAGTACAACAGATTTGTTAGGTGGCAGTTCTGTGGCCAGCGCTGTATACAACCCGTGCTAGCACGAGGTTTCACAGCAGAGCCATTGGTGTCCAGCTGTTGGGGCATGCTGCACTGAGGCCCAGCCTAACACCTCTGCCTAGAGCTCAAGCCTGAGACCTTGGACACTGTCATCATCCCTTTCATGACTATAGAGCCGTCTCTTAATGCAGAGGCATTTAGGCAAAGACATATTGCTCTCTCTAATATACCAGCCATTCTTCTTAAGAGACTGCATGGTACTATCAATTTTGAAGCTGGGTTGCAGTGCGGGTGGTTTGCATGATTTTGGCATTAGGGTAGTAGATTAATTGCTCATGAGTTGGTCACAATACATGGCTTTTTAGAATCAAGCAAAATGATACTGCAAAATGAGTAAGAAAATGTGTGCCCCACTTTGGCATACGTATCAAAAAAAGATATGAAACAGTGGTGTTTCTATCGATGTGTTTCAATGCTATGTGAAGCTGATGCCTCTGCAGATGCTAATGCCAGGCCAATGAAGATTATTGTTGTTTTTCCCTTTTAACCTTAAAAGAGCAACTTGTCTTGTTGCAAGGACACAAAGAACTCTTCCCCACCAACTGGTGACAAAAACACTTTTAGCACTTCACTGTTCTGGAAGCTGCAAAAGCAGAAACAACCCCTTACTTATAGATGGTGGTTTGTGGCCCTTCGAAGGTCTCCTTGCAAATGGATGTGTGTTCTGGGTAGCTCTCTTTTATAATTACTTTTGAAGTTGTCTAAATATAGAATATTTCTCACATACATGACATTCATGAACTTTGCACCAGGAACAGGATAGTGCCTAAAGTCTATGCTCTAAACATGTTTTATAGTCTAGATTTTCTGTGCAAACAGCTTTCATGAGTTTGTTTGTCATTGGGCTTTGAACCAAACAACATTATTGTAGGAAATTCTACCCTAGTACATAAGGCTACAGAACTATTTATGTGGCAATGCTTTGCAATAAGCTGGACTCTCTTATTTGCTCTATGTACAAATTTATTTAACTCTGGATCCCAAGAGGTACAAAGTTAAAAATTACCTGCGGTTAAGCTTGGTTTCAAATGTGTATGTAAAATGACAAGCCACTTAGTGACAGAGATGAGACAGATGTGATAGAGCTATGAAAGGCATGAGGAGAATCCCTTCCTCCAGAAACCATGCTGCTTTGCTGCTTTCCTCTAAATAAGAGCCCCAGAACCTGTTCATTTTCTAGGGGAGACATGGAAATGGAGGAGCACATCAGCTGGTCTTAACCAACTCCATTGTAGACTTTGCAGTGTATGTCAGGATTGGTCCTTTTCACTACTCGGATGGAGCAGCTTTTCTTGTGGAACAGAGCAACGCAGTTCACTTTGTCATATTTCTTGGGCATCGAAACTCTGTCATTGAGAAAAGCAAAGAGAAAATCAGGAGCCAAAACAAGGATTAGGAAAAAAGATGCTTATGGATCCTGGGGCAAACTGCATCATGGATTGATTTGACTCTCAATTTCCAATAATTACAAATCCTATGGACTATCCTAAAAGGAATACAGAGCTCTGATCATGATTGTTAACACTTAAAGTGATCCGCCAGTTTGGGGCTCTTATTGACATTTTGTTACAGACTGGCAAAAATTCCCATGCAGAGGCAAAAGGGAGGCAAATTTTGGATTCCCCATTTGGACTATTTTGAGAAGAACTTTTTCAAGAGTGCTGAATCTGCCCTCATGTGAACATCTGTGGGTGAACAGCATTGGCCTGATCAGATGCTTGAGGTTTTCTAAGTCTGAACATCTCAGTACTTGAATAAGCAGAGATTGGGAGAACTTACAAGCTGCAACAGGTCATTCCAGTTATCTTGCATCTGCACTGGTAGCACTCTTCAGTCTTCCACGTAGCACCAAAGACGTATAGGTTTTCATTTGAAAGGCATCCTGCATGCACACACCAAAGAACAACAGTCAGTAGATCAGTACAAATACATACAGACATAGACCACAATCTTATGTCTGTGGCCTGGCAATTAAAGCATTCATTTATGTAGAGTTATGCCAGGAAAGAATTTGAGTGAAGTCTTTGCAAAAAGGATGCAATATCTTTGCTCCTGAAGTGTGTGTGAGTTCATGATCTGGCAAGAGAAAATGGTAGCAGTCACATACCAGAGAAGTACTATTCTGCTATTGCAGTATGTCTGAGAAAAGTCTTAGCTTATGGCTAGAATCGGATCTTTTCTGTCCTTTTTCATACTCAAAACAGAGGTCTAGACTATAATTTCTGTCTCTTCCGCTCCCTAATTTTTTATTAGACTTTTACTTGTTCCGTTAAACTGAATTTAAGCACTGGTTTTGTTATCTTTGTTTTGATTTTAATGTCAAGTATCCTACATTAGTCAATGCTGCTTAAAAGTACATGTTTTCTGTCAGGTAGGCAAGACCTTCACCTATACATAAACCCTGAGGGTGTCCCTGTTATAAGGGATAGTGTGTGTCTATCCAGAGATGCCTCCAGGTGCCTTGATACGTGAATATGCAAGTGTCTGTATCTTTTCTCAGCACAGAATGAATTATATTATTCCAACGTTTCTAAGAAAATTAGGTTTACATCTCTGAGTTATTGTCTTAGAGATGACTGGTATATTTCCCATTCTTACCATATTTCCTGGGTGGTCTAAAGTAACAGTAGGCATCACACAGAGTTCTTAAGAGGAGAAGGATCAGGCAGAAGACCAGCAAGAATTTCTGGAAGACAGACAGGAAACTTCTTTAAAATATATATTTTTTCCCCAATAGTCCAGTAGAAAGTTTGGAGACACAGAGTTAAGGATAAGTCTTACTAGTCCCATGAAACTAAACTAAAAAACATTTCCAGCATACACATGCACACACATAATATAAGCTTTTGACTTACCATACTTGCATGGGCTGCTCACATTTCTTAATGAGGAGAAGCGTGCATTTATATACAGTGAGGAAACAATGGTCAGTGCAAAGTGGGTTGATGAAAATGTGAGCACCCCTTGTGCCAATGGACACTCTAACCTGTTCCAATCATCGATCAGAAGATGTGGCCTCAAGAGGTGTTGCAAAGTCAGGTTTTGTGCACTGACATACATCAGGATCTTGATCTCCATGGCGCTGGTGTAAATCTGAAGAAACTCCAGTGGATAACCTGGTTACTCTGCATCAACGCTGGTGTTAGCAGAAGAATTTGACCCCCAGAAAGCTACACCTCCGGAACTGGCAGGCCATCAAGAAACAGTGGGGAAAGGGCACATGGTAAGCAAGGTGGCAATGCACTATTGTTCAGCTGACCTGCCCCCCAAGTATGGAACAGGTCATTCATACAGTGCAGTGGTGTGGAGAGTCCACTGTTCTAAGACTGATTTATTGAAATTTCAATTATATTATAAGAGACACATTATTTTGTCCAAATTTAGCAATCTGTGGGGACTAGCTGCAGAGTTTTGTATCCTTCAGTTGTTCATCCAAAGCCAAGCTGCGGGGGCAAAAGCAGATCACCATGACCAGATAGTGCCTCTTCGTCAGCAAAAGCTAGAGGAGCAATCTCCAGCCAAAAGTGAATGTAAGAGTCAGAATGCTTGTCACTCTTGGCTCCCTTCCTGACAGCAACAAGGGTGATGACAAAGTTTGGGGGAGGCGAGGCAAGGCGAATGAGATCCCAATTTTCCTTCACCAAATGTGCCTCTAACATATCTGTCATCAGAAACCTTGCAGTGTTGTCATGAGGGCATTTTTTTCTATGCACATCTGGTCACAGGTATATAAGTCTTTATGCAACTTTGTGCAAATTAAAGTATTGCAACAGAGAGTTCTTGAAGCTGCACCTGAGAACCAAGCAGGTAACCTAACACAGATCCCAACTTTTATCTGTGGCTGTGTCAGGGGCTGTCAGATCTACTGCTTTGCTGAACTGGAGCACAGGTATAACAGATTAAAATAGTTACCAGAGGATTACTAGCTTAAGGAATTTCATTAATCCAATTAGCATGGATCCTCTAGCATACTTAAGCTTAATTAAACACCTTGATTGGTGTGGCAGAACTCATTAAATTTCACTGATTGACAGACATCTAAAGGAAGTGAAGTTACAGTGCATGCAGTTTTTAGATAAAAGCTGTAGTGGCAGAATGAGTTCTGTCTTTTGAGGAGTCCAGAGTAAAGGGAAAGTTATGGAGAAAAGTGTTGTTTTTTTGTAGTGACACAAGATTTAATTTATATTGTTTTTCCTGTTTCTGTCACTTACCTGAAATCGCCCCCTGCTTTTTAAGTACAAAACTTTAGAACTTTTCCAGTTGTTTGTTTGTAATTTTGCAATGCAGTTACTACTTTTGGGTTATTCTTACAATTTTGTAGATTATGCTCTGTGTGGTTCTGCTCTAGGAAACACTTCTGATATCTGCTAATAATGCCTTGAGGAAAAATATCTCTTGTGATACTTCTTAATAATAGTATGCTGCATTTGATGTGTTGAGGTGAAGGAGGTATTCATTTGTTTTACGTGTTAATTCTAATGGAGAGATATGAAGTAATGAACAAACTCTTTCTGACACAACAATGACTTTCTTCAAAGTTACTTGTTATCTGTTAGAAGAAATGAAGTGAAAATATAATGTATTTCTTTAACCACTAAGCTTTTAAATATGATCTAAATTGCTTTTATTTTAATTAAGCATCTGATTAACATCTCAGGGCCAATCTCACTTCTGGCCTGTCCCTGCTGTAACGCTTGGCATATCTTGTACTAATTTTTGTGAGAGGTAAGTGTTAATCAAAGGTATTTTGGAGAGAAATAGCCATATTAACAAGTTTCTTATATTTTTTGCTGTATCTTGGTGAGTGTGTACATTGTGTTTAAAGTAGGAAATTGAAGTGCAGTATGATTGAGGCTACTGTTAAAGAGCCACCCAGTCGTTTATGATTCTGAACCATATGAGTGTCTTAAAGCATGCCGTGCATGTTTTTCCTCTTGAGAAAAGATAATGCAGCTTAAGGCATCTCGCATTGTAGATTTGAGAATGAAGGGCCAAATGTATTTGAAAGTCTGTAGTTTTGGGGGAGTTGACTATGAGATCAGTAATGGGGCAGAGTTTGAACCTGTCCCACTGACCATGTTCCTGCTGCCCAGTTCTGAAACCGCTTCCTGAGACAAGTAAATTCGTCCAGGCCAAACAAGTAACAAAGGAGTTGAGGCCTCTCTGCTGTGCAAATGCAAGTGAACATTACCTTCTGGGGCTGCCCTGTTAAGCACAGGCCCTCTGGGGTGCCTATTTGTCATGGGAAGGTGGAGTTCCCCTGGCTTGCCTAGTACATGACTGGGAAGGTGAGTAACATAAAGTAACCCTGAGGCTTGGAAGGGCCCCTGCGACTTGCTGTGCTCCCTGTGTATCTGTGGTGGTAGGACAGCTCTTGATCCAACTCCAGATGAGCTCTGACCTAAGGCAAGCAACCTTCTTCATCTGGCTGTGAGGATTTGGCAGCAATTAACATAGGGGTCTCCTCAACTTGAGGCCTGAAGTGATGGGTGCAGTTGCCAGTGCTGCCCTTCCCTGTTCATCTAGCAGCTGTTGGGGAAGTCACAAACTAAAATGGTCGCAAAATGTAGCAGTTTGACTAAAGCAGTGACCCTATGCAAAGCTGAGGAGGCAGTTTTGCCCTGGGAAGCTGCTGGTTATTAGAAGCATTTGGGGTATCCTGCAGAGAGCCGTGGGGTAGAAAAGGCTGGGCCCTGCTTTCCTCTCTCAGATGTTGAAGCAGAGGGTGCCCAGGCAGCTGCTCTGATCACTGAAGCTATGACTGGGGGAAGGGGACACAAAATCTACAATTCAGCTAAAACTTGCTAGTATTAAAAGAAACTTCTCACCAGTCTGTGACTTCAGACTTGGCATGCTGCTTGCCTGTCACTCCACCTTGTATTCTGCGATTAAAACTCTATCAATATACATTTTTTTGTAAAGACTGGCGAAATTTTAAAATTGGATTAAAGTACATAAATCTGAGCCGTCTCTCAAATGATTCACATCACTAGTTTAAAGACCATCTAGGAGGTGAAATTGATGTTTTTTCTGACTCTGACAAAGGATTTCCTCCACTTCTAGCAGAAGTTGTGAGAATGAGCTGTTATGAAGTGCAAGGGAAACTTGCGCCTCCATTTGTGTTTCTTCCAGCCCATGTCCATGGCCTCATCAACTCTGAGTTATTGGTCTTTCTTGGGAAAGAAGTGTTGCAGACACTGACTTGGTAGACAAGTAGTTGTTTCTCATCATGGCTTTCTTAAGTAAGTAGCCTCTCTGAGGACACTGGCTGGAAATCTTGAGAGGGATACATAAGGAACTTCTGGTCATGTTTGTTGCAAAATTTTCAAAAAGACAATAACCTAAGGCCCGAGCAGAGCGCAAACAGAGCTTATTACCTCAAAGTTAGGGCACGCTGCACTAATACAATACCAAACAAGGCACTACTAATGCTGATGTCCTGTGCAGTTATTGGTACAAACTGTTGAAGAAATCTCTTCCTCAGCTGATAGGGGTTTTCAAAGCATTCATAACTTTTCTGGCATCTTTCTTTATCCCTGAACATCAAGAAAGATGCAGTAAAAAAGGGAGTATAGTCAAAAATGGAAAAAATAAAACTGGATTTTTTTTTTTTGTGAGGAAGGGCCTGTAAGAAAGGACAATATTGTTACTGCAGGCTTTAAAGCATGATGTTTGCTCTTTCAATGCTCTTACTGTTGAGAAAGCTTACGAAGTTGCTTCTGTTCCAATACAAAATTGATCCCAGCTTTGTAATTTCTATGATTCAGCCTCTCTAATTCTGACTTAGTTTCTTCCACTTCATCCCTAGGGATGACTCCCAGCCATCCGCTCTGACTGAATGCATAGCACTCTGCTCCAAGAGGCAAATTCTTCTCTTTGTTAACACAGAAAGAAAGTACTGCAAGTAAAGGTGCTAATGTGTTTATTCCCCGAAGGAAGCTTTGAAATAGCATTGCTGCAAAGTTTTAATTCTCTTAGTCCATGGTAACCCAGGCAAGCCAGACTACATCACTACATCACTACTTTCAAAAACAAATCCAAAAACCTCTAAACTACCCAGTCTTGTCCATGGTATTTGCTTGAAGGCTTTTCTCTATACGGTAGATTAAAGACACTTCTAAAATGCTGCTTGTGTTTCTAAACCTCACTGAAGCAAATAGAAATTAAGCTCAATTCTGCCAATAGAGTCGGGATGTGCTTGTTTAGTTTTTGGTTGTTTGTTTGGTGTATTTTTGTTTGTTTGTTTGTTTTTGATTTTTCATCTCCCTACAAGTTCTCCTTTAGCTCTTGCTTGCCCTGCTAGTAGCCGTTTTGGCACAAAAACGCCGTGGCAGAACCAGGATGCCACCTAGTGACTTTAGTAGCACTTTTTTTTTTTTTTTTTTTTGGAGCTGATATTCACCTCTGCATGCAGGTAAGCTGTATTAATACAACTGGAGCTGTAGAGCAACTTGCCCTGTCAATTGCCTGGTAGTTTCACTGTAGCTTGCTGGAAAAATTAGGTTGTATCTGAAATTCTTAGCTATAGCTGTAGTTGTGAGAGGAAAAACTGGCAGAATACAGCACTGGAATACCCTTCTCCATGTCTGATGCAATTTTTGTTGTTCAAACTTCTGAATCTCCCTTCTTCCTACTGAAGAGGGAAGGGATAATCTCCTATTTAGAAGCCATAACTGAAAAAAGGTGGAGAGAGGTGTTAAGGAGAAATATTGACTTGTCAATAGAAATTATATTTTAGAAATACAAACCAGGGGCCAATCATGCAGCCTTACTAGGTATTTAACTTTTGGGTATTATACCAACAAATACTCAGGACTAACATGACTCAATAATCTTACAGAGTTGCTGCCTTATCTAAAGCATTCGTATCGGTAAATCACTTACCAATTGTATTATCAAATATTACAGAGAGCAACAAGCAATTGAGTTAAAAAAAAAAAAAAAAAAAAGGCTGTTAAATAATCCAGTCTCTAACTTCAGGGGGTATGAAACATTTTACTTGAATACCAAGCCAGATCCCTGCTCGCTTTCCCTGCCTCCTTTGATGCATCCTTTTGTCCAGCAGCCAGGCATGAAGAGGAGACTGCCTCAGTAAAATAGGATCTTGCAGCCTCTTGGAATTCTTGTTCCTCAGGCAGGAGATAGGGAAACTAAGGGGCAGTGTGTTTGAAGGCATCAGGCATGACCCAGCTGGAAAGGGGAGGCAAAGGGCCTCTGTGAGCTGCTGTGCTGCACTCGTAACACTGCATGGCAGCAAAGCGACTCCTGGGTCCTGCGCTGCCATTTCGGAACAGTCGCCTCTGCTGCGCTTCGTAGTGTCATGCAGCACACTGTGGCATCTTCTGCTTTCTGCAGCTTGGATGGTGCTTTTTATTTTTATTATTTTTTTCCTCCACAGCCTTTATTGTTTCATAATCCCTATAGAGCTTTTTTTCAAACAAACAAACAAACAAAAAAAAAGCAAGTGATAGAAAAGTGAGTTTTCAAAGAGGTTTTTTTTTCATTAATTAATTTAGCTTTCTTTCTTCAACAAAGACAGTAAGAGACCCATTTGAGTCACATGAATTTAATCTTTTAATCTGATTTTATTTTTAACTTTTTTGTATGCAGGTAACAGAACATACTCCCTGACACTGACCACTGGAAATTACTTAAAATTCGTAATTACTGATGGTGCTTTAAAAGAAGAAAAGTCACTTTTGGTTTCTGATCTCAAGCATGGAACAAGTCGGCTCCTTCTTCATGAAGAAGCAGAAGGCAGAGAAGTCAATCTTTCGTGAGTCGATATAGCTCTCAGTTTCATCAAGCATTAGGTTTGGGGAATAGATTCACTCAAATGCTATGTATTTCAATGTTTTTGAATCTGACAGAGAAAAAAACGTTGAAATGAAATAAAGGAAATATCCTCCAAAATCACCATCTTTTTCTTGTTAGCCCACCCATGCAGAGACCGGGCATTCTTTTGTGTGATCAGCTTTCTCAACTACTTGGTAACTGCAGGTCTGCTTATGGAAAATACGCTCGCATTTCTCTCCATCAAAATCAACTGGTGTTGCATAGCTGCCATTGGGAAAAGAAAGACATGATGAGAACAGGAAGTAAACAGCTTCCATGTGAGACAGTATTTACACTTTTAATAGGAAGAGGCTGTATTAGGGGCATGATGAAGTGATTGCTCAGGAGAAAAGGGAGCTTCAGCAAATGTTACTTAGTGCTGAAGTGGGATGTGGGGAGAGTTGGCTTACTGATCTAGTTACATCTGAGTTCAACATGCTTATTTGCTACACCAGTATCAGTATTGCCATGTCTCTTTGTCTGCAGTATGGAATGTGAAGTCCATGATTGTCTAGGTGTGGCTATCATACAAATTTCTCTCCAAGCAGCAGCTCAGGATACATAGGCCTGACTGTAAAAAGCAGCAATGTGTGGCATTGGGAGCATCTGGAGCAAGAGTAGTAGAAAACTCTCAAACAACTAAGCATTCTTACTTATGTCAGGGCTTCATCTGAAAATTTCACCCCAGGAAGACTGACTTTTTTTTTCCCCCTTAAAATCTTTTTCTTTTTTTTTTTAAACATGAACTGTATTTGTCAGGAACTTCTTACATGATCTGTGGTGATGGTGTTGGGTGAATATATAGCTTTACGGTATGGAGTAAGAGAAGGGTTGTGATCATTTTCCAGGGGCTTCTTAGTAAAGGAGAGTGCTGTGTGTTGTATCAGGGTAGCAAAGGAAAACCCTGCTGCCAATCTGAGCTCACCTGCTACAGCATCTCGTTCCATCCTCTCCACAAGAGCAGTCCAGGCAGTTCTCGGTCCTCCACTGGGAGCCAAATTGACGTATCTTTCCCTTGGGGTCAATGCAGCCTGAAAAAATAGCATGCAAGCAGCCTGCTGGACAATTGTGCTAATGATGCTATTGCCTGTACAAACAGAGTGGGCTTTTTGTGTCAATATTTCTATTTGTTAAACACTGTTCACAAGAGCAGGGCTACTACTATACTTTTGCATGGAAAAGGGGATCCTAGGCCCCTCCATTCCTCTGGCTCTTAGCGACATGGGCTTTCTTAGAGTAGCTCATCTTTAGATACAGGAATCAGAGTGCCAAGCAGAAAGAAAAAATAGGCAAAAATCTGTTCAGGAGTAAGAAAAGGCTTTGATGCTCCCCCCCATTTCAACCAAATTTCAACCAAATGTTGTTGACTTCTTGTTTAAAGCAAGTCTTATTCTGTCCAGAAAACTCTCTCCAGTTCTCAAATGCAGGAAGAAGGCATACAGTGGAGTAAAGCTCCTGCCCAATGGTTGTCTAATAAATCTTCTGAGTGATGTTGAAAACAAGATTTTATGAGGACAGGGCAAAACAGAGTAGAAGGTTTGTGCATTCTGCTTTCTGTCTTTGCATACTGCTTTTGAACACTTAGTCTACCCTAGCTCCCCGCATCTGCAGTCTGGGAGATGAGCTGTATTCTGGAAGAGCTGCCCCAGCATCATAGGAAGCAACAATTTTTTTCTTGACTTTCTTGGGATAGGGAAACAACTAATGAGTTTATTGATCAGTGTGCCCAATGTTTGCCAGTCTGCTCCCTGCTTTACCACTACCATTCATAGCGCCCTGCAGTTCACCTGCGCATACTTCCCTTGTGCGCGCTTTCTCTTTCTCTCTCTCTCTCCTTCTCCTCTGCCTTCTCTGTCTTTCTAAATATGCTGGTTTTGAATTACAAATGTAATGCACAGGGTAGCTGCCAAAGCAAAAACAGAAATAGTATTTCATGCAAGTGGATAAACTAACATTATACTACTTCCTTGGAAAAAAAAATCCATTTTTTTCAGTCTCAGTGATGCTTCTCAAATAAGCTCTTCCTTTTTATAACTGTAAAATCAGTGCTCTCTCCTTCCCTTTTCCCCCAAATCTCCATGTTTTCTCCCTCTTGTGCCCAGTTTCTTCTAACTGGTTCTGCTTTGGAAAAATGAAGTCCAGCATTTCTGTGGTGCTGTCTGTCAAGCTGAAGACAGTTGACTTCTTACCTAGAATCTCTTCACCAGGCTTCCCTGCCGTCAGTGGTTCCATGAAGCAATATGCATTAGATAATGTCACACAGATGGCAAGAATGAAAAGGCAGGCCAAGAAGGTTTTCTGAAGAATAAAGCAGACAATGTGAATACAAAAGTGACTATTGAAAAGTCTTGATGCTGCCACCTTTAGAAATAAATAATAAAAAAAGTTACTTTAAAAAATTGCTGGGAAAGGTTCTACTAAACAGTAGGTGCTAGATCAAAGTTTTAAAGATATCTTGCTCAAATATTTGTGAAAATATGCTCAAGTATTTGCGAAAGAAGGAAACATGCTACTAGAATTTAGTGACATATGTTTTCATGTGGAGAGATTTTAGCTATATTTGAGCTGAAAAAGACTAAAAAAGGCATGGTAACATTTCTGAGTTTAACCAGAAGCTCAGGTGTTACCCAAGCTTTTCACAAAAATTAAAGTCAGTTCCAGGTTGAGACACAAGAGAGCTGCTTGATGGCAGAAAAGAAGTTATATTCAAAGACTACAAGAAGGTGAAAACTGAAGGTTCTAATAAAAATCTTAACTGGGAATGTATTAGGCATTTCCTGTTGTACAAATTCTGCTCTTATGCAAGGTTAGTGCCTACCTGTCCTTATGTATCTGACTTCTACTATCTCTGAGATAGTATCAAAGAAATTATATCAAAATTGTATCAAAGAAAGCTCAAATAAATCCGAGCCTTCTATAAGATCTCTGGTGTCTCTTACAATATAAAATGTGAGGACTCACCATTCTTGCAGAAGTACAAGGCTTCCAGTAAGGAGGCAGTCTGTAGGAAGATGATCTTCTCAGAGGACTTTATATAGAGAGGGACTTTCTGGTAGCAGTCCTTGAGCAAACTGTCTGTATATGAATAACTCCAATAAGATTTTTGCCAAATGACCTCATTGACATTATTAAAATAAGCCAGTCATCAAGAGGAGGAACCTAAGATCCTGAGAAGTTCTGAGGAAATACGTATGCCTTCTGGCTAGAAGGCAAATATAGGAGGTACTTAGAAGGAGTTCTAGAGGAAATATTTAACACTCTGGCTGTTTAACAGCTGAGAAGCTGTTTAGAGATTGTGTGGTTGTACTTGCTACATCAAAATTTGCAGGCACTGTTTAAAGAGACTGACTTTGAGCTATCTCCTAACTTTCTTCATTCATCAACTGAAAATGAAAGAAGGATTTTATGGGAAAGGATTGATGGTTATAAAGATTATATAAAAGACTGGGTCTCTGTGGAGGGAAGCCGGCATATCTATGTGCTTAGAAAAGAGTAGCAGATAACAATTTTATTCCTTGCTCAATTGTTCTATTTTCCACTATGTAGAACATCTAGAGGCTTAGACTGTCTGTGGGTGTGAAGAAAATGACATCCTATACTTTCTCCTTTTATCTCTGCAGACATGGGGGAATGGGCCTTTCTGTGAAGGCTGTGTGTCAAGGGGAGCACGTGCCACTTCCAAAGGCTTAAGGCAGCAGCTTCACAGCAAGGGAACCCAGTACATGTCCCTGTTGCTTAGCTTTGAAAAGGTTAATTCAAGTATTGAAAACTGTGTGATGCTGATAATCTCATCATAATATGACTGCCTAATTGTGTTGCCTTCTTGATTGGTTTGGTAGTTAGTTCATGTTGAGCCCTGCTAGAGTGACTACCCCAAATCTTTTACCCGAGCTACTGTTGAGAGTCAGTTCAGGAGGTCGTCTTGAGAAAGTCAACAATATTGTAACTCGTATTGTAGAGTGATCACTGCTTGGGGTTCAACCTTAGCTGGCTTTCAACTTGGTAGATTGGATAAATAGCTGCCACAGGAGTGTGTGTGGTTTTTTTTTGTTGTTGTTCTGTTTTCAATTACTATGCCTTTCTTTAGGGTGGGAGATAAGAACTTAGGGGTCGACAAATGTTCATAGGTTCGATAAAATTACCCAGAATCAACACCTTACTAAAAATCGGATTTGGCCAAGTTTATAAATGCACCGTCCTGGAACAGGAGAGGACAGACAGTACAGGTGCGCATGGTTTGCTCTCTTGGCATGTCGTCACTGATAAATCAACAGCACATGACAATCTGTGAACATAAGCACTGGGTATTTACTTACTGACCTCACTGGAGTCCAGATGTCCACTTTGGATCTCTCAGAAATATGTATGAAACGAATTTAGAGTGTGGTTGTGGTTTAACATACTGTTGCTCTCTGACATATACTAGCTCTATACTGCTGCTCTTTGTAAGCTTAACAACATATGGAAGTAGCTCTTTCACCTTGGCTGTGAATGCCATGGGAGGCAACTCTGAGTCCTCTTTCAGATATTGACCCCTTCATGTCTTCAGGGGTAATCTGGAATAATCATTCAATGGACCATCAAATTACATTACCTTAATTTTGAATGTGCTTTTAAAACACATGTTAATTCCTGAGCTTATCTGGAAAATGTTTTCCTCATGTCATGACCCTAAATGAGGTTCAGTGCTAAGCAAGAGACATAAAGCATGATGGAAAGAATTAAAGGGCCCGGGAACAACATGTTGTGTGTGGCACAGGTGTGTTGAAGACTGACAGCTTGTACAGATCGTGCCTGGATGGGACTGCCAGTGCTGTGTGGCCACCTCTGAGGAAGGTAGTCACAGGTATTGTAGCAGCAAGCTCAGTGTTTCTGTGTTTTTGGGAAAACTCACTTAATTCTGTTTATGTCCCCACCTAGCTGACTTCATTTAGAGAGCACAAGCTTCTTTCCATTTTCTAACCTGTTAGTCATTGATTCCACAAAGATAAACTCGGTGGTTGGATGTTATTGCTGCACAGACTCAGAAGCGGTTGTGGTAAGAATGCAGCCACACAGTGCTTCAGTCAAATCCATGGTATATCTTGGCCACGGGATTCTTTTTTTGCCTGTTGTTTTCCACTGTAATGTAAAAAAAAAACCTACTTTCTCCCATATTTCTCTTTCCTTTCCTATTGTTCTACAGCCTTTATATCATTTCCTGATGGGCAGTAACTAGAATGGAATGATTTAAGGGGAGCTGTTGTGGCTCTCTTCTCTGCATGTTTCTCCAGAGTTGTGAACTGGTTAACTCAAAATGTCAATCTGCATTGCATAACCATGTCAGGAAGCTAAAGGCCAGGAGGAAGCCAATGAAACACTTGTTTTAAAGAGAGACAAGGTCTGTGGCAAGTTCTGGGAAGTATTTTAATAGTTACTGAGGAAGTGTCTTCGCTGGAACCAATGCTTTCTGTTCTTTGAGAAAGCAAAAGGAAATTGCAGCAGCAAAAAGGGTAGGACTGAGGGCCAAACTCTAAATCTGTGAAACTCTAAATACAAGGCAGTTCTTGCAGAGGCAAGAGACTGCATTCACTGATGCAGGATATCATCTCTTCTAGCCCTGTGTCCATACACTGTTTTGCCCATTCTGGAGAGCCTACATGCTGAACAAGATTTCTGCCCGCTCTGCAGAGCCTGCAGCTACTGAATTCTGTCTCTGTTCATAGCTGTAAATATACTGGAAAATATTCTAATCATTATACTGGAAAATGTTCTAATCGGCATGAGAAACCTCACTGAGAGTAATAAAAGAATACTAGAAGGGGAATGAATAATAGCAATGGCTAATAGCAAAGGTATGCAAAGGACTTCTAGCTGTATAGAACTTGAGTTTTCTGTCTGCAACCTGAGTGCATGATTCTCAGTACCAGTCTGTAGAGCTATTGCGGACCTCCCCTCTTTCAAAAGGTGAAAATGTCAATCAATAGTTAATGTTTAAAAGTACAGTTATGAGCAAATAATTAAATATGCTTTTAGCTTGATGTATTTGCTTTGAGAAAAGCCTAGGCTTTTCTTAGCCTTGATAAGTAGGTATCTGGGCTTAGGCTGATCTAGGAGGGACCTCTAAGAGGGTGCCGGGTTATGCAAGAAAACTCCTCAGGTCTCTCTGCACTTGCTTCTACCTTTCAATGTTGAGAGTGAAACTGAAATGTGGCTATAAGCCAGGGAAAACGTATTTGTCTGTACTCAGCAGACACCTTTGATATTCTAGGGCAAGAGGGCTGTAGTAAGAAGACAATGAGGCAAAAATCTGTGTGGTTGTGGGGTTTTCTTTTGTTTTGTTTTTGTTTGCTAAAGTATCTGTTATCTCTTGCTATCATTTACCCTATAATGGACAGGTGTGTTGAAGACTGACAGCTTGTACAGATCGTGCCTGGATGGGACTGCCAGGTACTTACTTTGTAACTTGAAAGCTCAACTTTTCGCTGGAGTGGTGGGAGATGATATGGTTAACTTAGACAAGCTATTTTCTGTATCCTAGCAGTAGGTAGTGCCTGTATTCAGCTCTGATAAAGAAGTGATGAAGTATTTGCATCCTAGGAGCATCTCTTGAGCAAGCTAAGAGCGTGCTGGATTCTCTCCCTACTCCAGAGATTTCCAGTGTCTTACAAGTGAGCTCTAGCCGCGTAGTCACGGTCACCATTGAGTGCTGGGAGGTCGTCTCAGAAAAAAATGTGGTTTAGAGGAGGTGATATCTTCCTGGAGGGAATCTGGCCCAGTGACCTTGTCCCCTCCCCAGACTGCTGTATCCTTGCAGTGTGAGCCATTATGCAGCATATTTGAAGAGTGCATCGCTTCCCAGTAATGATGAATTTCCTCAGCAGGGAAAATATTTGGCTGTTCTGATGGTTAGTTAGAAAGGAACCTCCAAAGTGTGGGAGTGGCTTGTGCCAAGGCACTGGTATATGGTGTGTGCCAGAGTAGTAAGGTGATGAGGGCATTTCTCTCAAATAAGTTGAAGCTCCCCAGTGTTGTTATATAAAAAGAAAATAAGGGCTTCTGAGTTGCTTTGTCTGGATTTATTTTACTTAAAATGCTCAGCGATGCAAATGGCAGTAATAACAGAAATGACACATCGATAATCTAAATTAGAAGAAATAGGAGATTAAAAGTGAGCTGATTAAGTGCTCTCTCTTAAAAGATCTCCCGTGTGTAGAAGAGGGAGAAATTCCACAGTGCATAGTCTGGAGCAGGTCTGATATTAACCCACACGGGAATATACAAAACATTCCTTTGAGGGATCATCCTTCTCTATCACGTCGTAATTGCAGGTTTTCTTGTTGAAAACTACTTTGCATCTCTCTTTGTCGTAATTAACAGGAGTATGATAGCTGTCATGGGCAAAGAAGAAGCAAATGTTAAAATGAGAGCATATATTCAATCGTTTAGTGGTTCACTGTTTATTCCTTGAAGGACTGCTGAGTGAGATATCCCTGAAATTGTAGCTAAGAACAGGGAGCTATCCTACATGCCACTCTCACATAGCTATATGACTACTTGGATGTCGTCTGCTGTCTGCAGTGGCCTGTTCACTTGGAACTAGAATAGGGATTTCTAGCATAGCACTTTAGTGTGACATAAAACATACTGGAACCATGTTTATCTCTTCTCTATTAATTTTTTGTTACTGTAATTTGCTTAGTTAGAGTGTGCTTTCTGTTTCTGACAGGAGAGGTGTCTCCTGAGCAAAGGGAATGATCATAATCAAGGCATTTTTGCTCTTTGATAAGATGCAATGAAAGAAAAAGTGAATGAAATGCCTCAGAGCAAAGCCCTTGTCACTCTATGGTCTCTATGTTTTGTGGAGAAGACCACCTGCAGTGATTCTGATCATTGGGGCTCTCATGAAGAACTTTAGTTAAGCACATGGTAGTACAAATTCCTTCTCGCCCCCAATTTTCCCACCAAGGAAAGACTTCACTGTAGTGTGAGAAGAGTTAGTAGGTGGCTTAAAGATAAAGCCAAGTATCAGCAGGAGGTGTCTGGAAGGGCCTGACCATTCCCAGGAGCTAGGAAGTGAGCAAAATTAAACCCATCCAGGAATTTAGGTGATAAGGAAGCATATGTCACTTGCCCCAGCCTTGTGACATAGATATGGGAAGGCTATCATGAGAGCTCATTTATTCTCAACAAATGTCAACCCACAGTCTTCCTATGGGCAGTGGTCCCCCTGGGAAGTTCAAACTTACAGGCTACAGCAACGCATCTCCTTTCGATTGCAGCTACAGCTGAGGCAGTCTTCTGTCCTTTCTATTTCTCCAAAGGGGTATAATTTTCCATTCAGGATACAGCCTGTGCAAGAGAGCAGCACAACAAAAATTATTTATCTGCATCACCACAAAAATGCTGAAATTTTTTAGAATAACTGTCAGTCTCCTGGAAATTATCTGTATTGTTACTGATAAAGGAGAAGTCAATTTGCTCTCCTGACCACTACCCAAACTATTTTGAGAGCCTGAACCTGTTTCCTCTTCATTTCTTAGACAGTTTCAGCATGAAAATCTGGGATAGCAGTGAATAACCAGAGGCTGCTACCTGCTGTCACACTGTCTTTGGCGTTACCCTTAACTCCACTAGAAGCTTTATGTGCTGGATAACAGAACTAATTTTGCTACAATTACACCCAGAGAAACTTGGTGCTGAAACCTTCTATTCGGGTCTTTCTGACATCTCCTTCCCTCTCTAAAGTTTCAAGCCCCTTCTGACAGTTGCCCAAAGAGCCAATACAGAACTTTTCCTGTTCTTACCTTTGCCAGATTGCTCTGCAGTGTTCCTTTTTGTAAAACAGTACGCATCGCTCAGCGCCACTACGATGCCCATTGCAAGAAGGAAAGCCAAAAAGCTCCTCTGTAAGAGAGAGACAGAGCCCACTTCATGAGTTCAATTACGCATTGATTACATTTGTTTTAAAAACAAACGGAAACATTGTAAAAGGGAACTCCTAGATATTCCATTGCATTGATGAATTTTTCCTTAGATGAGAAGGGACAAAATGCTGTAACATAATGTGTTTTCAGCATGCCTTTATGTTAAGGCTGTTGCTTCTTGAAAGTGTGAGTGGTTAAAAGTAGCAGTGAAAGTCTTTATTTTAGAAGCAACTCTGCTGCCTACCTTGGATGACTTGAAACATGAAGATCAAAAGACAGTGAAAGGTCCAGAAACTTAGGGATATGGTGAGTAAAGGTGATTTCCCTTTCTCTGCTATGGAAATGCTTGCTAATTTAATCCCTGAAACACTGCAATGTTACAGAGTATAGGGATATTTATGGTACAGCAAAAGGAAGGAGAAGGGACTCTGGAATGGTCTGGGAAGGTTGGAATGCTGAATTTCCATAGTGGTTCTGCAGTTCAGAGTTCTTTAGACTTTAGGGCTGAGTGGAGTCAGTCACCATGCTCAGCATCACAGCCAGGAAGATGAAGGTCAACAAGAGAGACAGAAACTCTAAAATATGCCATTCCATGGTATCTGGCCAGAGCAAAGTTGTTTAACTTCTGTAATGTGAAGTTACAAGAGAGCACATAACGCTGCAGCCTGTCTCTGCGAAACCTCCGCATGCGCCTGTCAGGGATTTCCAAGGCTGGTAGGTGTGCTGCTGCCTGGGATGATGTGAGTTCAGGGGATCCTGAACCTCCGGGGAGGATATCCCCTATTTGGGATAGTAAGTGCTGAATGCTAGTTGTCCTCAGCTTGCTAAGTTTGAGAGTGGCCTTCCTCTAAACTGGCTCAGCACAGGCCAGAGGTCTTACTGCTCTCACTCATGCCTTTACTGCAGCAGCTGGAATCCTTCTCTTTGCTGCCCTGGGCTGCCTTCTGTGAGGGTTTTATCCTTTGTTTGCTCCCATGTTTGTCCTTATCTTGCTATTACTAAATGTGCCAGTCAGATGAATTTGGACATGTTCCTCTCTCTACAGAGCAAAGTTTTGGATCTTCCACTGAATCAACACAGAAAGAGAAGGGGAGGTCAGTGGTGTGATTTGTGACTGAGCTGGCCTTATGCTGGAAAAAGTGCAGGATATATTGGCTAAGTTGTTTAGCAGAAAAAAAGCCCACATGCAAATACAGAGGGTATCAAAACAGTAAGAAAGCACTGCAGCATCAATACTTAAGTAAAAAGTGGAGAGTTACACTGTTACACTAATGCCAAGGAATCTTAGTTAAACATCAAAGTTTTGCTCTAGATTATTCACTAACAAAGCATTTGAAGAAATGCTTTTTGTTTCAGATAGTTTGCTCCCATTGAAAGTGCATGTCATCAGCCATCTTGCAGAACAAAATCTTCCAGACTGGTTTGGATGGCCTATGAAAGTGAATGAATTCATGTGGCATGTCATACCAGATCACTTTGTCCAGCTATATTTTGTCCCACTCAGTATAGCCAAGCCCTCAAAAAAGTACAGAAATAAGTCCATGATAATTTTTCCATTTATCTACTTGTTACAGAAACAGCCATTTCCTTTGTAAAACTTAGGCCATCCCTGAGATAGTCATCAAAGATAGTATTTCATGTCTTGTGTTGGGGTTATGTGGGCATAAATTATAAAGGAATTACTTTACAAAAGAAGCATTTCTAAGAAAAGACTAAAAGCAGGTAGAGAACCTAGCGGTATATTTGTAAAGCTTCTTGCAAACAATTACAAAACAAGGAACAAAGTTCACTGACAGCTTCATAAATGTCTCCTTTACATCTTTTAGCATTTTTTTTATAAGAATAGTTACATTGAATGAATGTGTAATTAGGTGATTCTCTTGAATACCCTTCTTTCGCAGTTTTAACACAAATCGCTTTTAAAGATATAAAGCAGTGACTTACCATTGTACAATGTGTGGATTCCAAAGTGCTCAAAGTCTTTGGATGAACTCTGCAATAGAGTCTGCAAGCAAATATTCTATGTTGCTTTTATACTGAGGAGAAAGGAATCCTGTTATATATTAAGCAAGTCAAGTCTGTAAAAATAGCTTGCTCAATTCAAATGAAGTTATGTTGAAATTTCTGAGGAAATCGCTGAAATATGGCCAGCTGGTAACATGAAAGTGTTTGATTCTGTAAAATATTAAGCAAGCAAGGGGTTGAACGAGGAATTCTCTATTTCCTGTAAGCCTTATGATTAGACTAAACACCTTTCGAATTAAATAAAGGACTGGCAGGCTTTCAAGGTAAGCTTACACAGAGAGCTGTAGGCACTGTTATATGGTTGGTATGTTGTCTTATTAGTCCTGGGGATTTTTAGCTTTGGTAGGAATGCTGATCATTTCTTCTTTCAGTGGGCTTGGACATGCTTAGAGAGGGAAAGTAGGAGCTTTGAGAGCTTTTGATCTTTTGCCAGATCTTTCATGTATACTCATGCCTAATGCTACAAATGTGCACTATAAGATAACCAAATGTCATTGGTCATTATTGGTATCAAATCCTCTTAATGCTCCAATCTTAGTCAAAGCTGGAGCACTTAACAACATCTGCACTTTTCCTCAACCAAAAGAAGTAATTTCTCCTAAATCCAACATCTGTTTTTCTTGTGGGACTTCTCAGGCTCTGGATTTGGGGATAATATTATATACTGCCTACCAATAACAACTGATTCCCCTATTCCATGTCTACATTCCTGCTTAAAGATATGAAGTTTTTCTATTTAGTCACCTTTAAAACACGGATTATAGAAGCACAGTTTACTCTCCAAAGACCTGACATACAATCGTTACCTGACACATTAAGCATCAGTTGCAAACTCAATCAGCAAAATTTTATATTTTATCTTGTACTACTTGATACAGGTGCTTCACAGAAGTGTAGAGAAAGTATAGACCATGCACACCCATCTAAGACTTTCTCCAGTTTTACAGAAGGCCCCACACCTACTGTGTTCAGGCTTGGGTAGATTCAAGTCGCCATAGGCTCGTGAGGCAACTTTCTGCCAGTCATTTTGTGCTTTTTCTCAGAGCCAGTTCAAAGCAAGACTATTTTATGCCTTCAAAGCACCTGTTAGACAGAAAAGCTTATTCTTTTGCCAAAGAGTTCTTGATAAGCATGGTGGAGACCTGCCTGCTGTGCTGCTATGTGTCTCCTGGTAGGCTGGCATTGCTTTCGATACCTTTTAGCCTCCTGTCTCAGGATGGGCAGATTGTGCTTTGAAAGGATCAGCCTCTCTAAAGCCCCAGATCTGGCTGCATCTCCAATGAGAACATGGTGAGCCTGTGACCAATTTGGCCTTCTCTAAGTGTTTTCAATACTTTGCTCAAAGCTGGATTATCTAAGCACAGAGCCTTTAACACCTGCCATCTCTGAGTGAAAGAGCCTACCAATCATCAGGAAACATTTTTAAGACTTTGTGGGTATGATGATCGCTAGTAATTTCATCATTAGAATTTATCTAATTCCCCAGCTGAATACTACTAAGCCTGCCAGTTCTCTTGCAGTTCCTCCTGAAGCATTTTCTCCGAAGTACTGACATCTGGAGAACTCCCTGAAAGGTCTTTCTGTCTGGACATCATGGTATTCTATTTAGTTTTCCTGGAACATTCCTACTGATACCTTTTTGTGTGTTTCTGCACTTTGTTTCCCAAACAAAGGTTTCATCATCAAATGCAAGGGCTGGACCTATGCTTGTCACCTAAAAATATCTCTCCAGTTCTCCAGTTTAGGCTGGAAAAAAATGCAGATGGGTTGAGATGATGTAACTCAGGGTTCTCTAAGTCTGCAGCACTCTGTCTTCCTTCTGGAACACAGCAACTGGGCAGACACTGTGAACAAGAAATTGGTCTGGGGACTTGTGTTATACCAAATCCTAATGCAGAGGTTAAAGGAGAAGGAGGTTTGAAGATGCACCTGATAATATAACAGATACAATGTCAAATGTGTTACTAAAACATGCAGCATAACTGACGTCAAGTGGACAAAACCCAGAAAGCTATCTTCAAAATCCAGAGCTTTAAAAAAAAAAAGAAAAAAAAAAAGGTTTGGCGAAGGGGCAATCATTAGGCATTTTTCAGCCTGTGCAATTCATGTTTTCTAATTTTTCCTTACAATCAAAGAGTGGAACTTGGATACTTCAGAGTTCAAAAGTTACTCCAGGTCTTTTAGGGAAATGCTAGTGTCACAGCAACATACTTTACACAGCAAGAGCTTTCTGTATTGAAGACAAAACTAGCAACAAGAACTTATCTCTGGAGGGAGATTTAAACCCAGTGCAACTTCCATGTGAACACATTGGTTGGTTTTGATTTAGAGCACAGATGTCACCCAAGTAGGCTCTTTAAGTGCAGATATGGAAGCCTCAGCAAGGCAAAATGCCTGAGATGATGTTAAAATAGAAATAGTCTATTTTATTTCTGAAAGACGTGGGCCATGTGACTTTTTAGTGTGAGTATAGTGTCAGTCTGTTGTGCATCTGTGAGCTACTGTGTTCATAAAAGGTGTATGCTGTTATGTTGTCTATTCAAGATGTAATATTCAGGAGGAGTTTCTTGATCTCCTGAATACCAATCCTTACAAATACAGGACGACAAAGGGTTATTTTCAGAAGCAATCTGTGGTGAAAACTATTCAAACTGTTATGTACTTATAAACTTAAATATATATTTTGCTTTAGAGCTGTACATAGTTTCATTGTTTACAGTAGAGCCACTCCTTGTTCTCAAGCACATGGTTGGCAGACAGCTTTGCTGGGTAACACTGAAAGCACAAACTGGCAGTCATCCTGCTCTTGATTACTTTATTAGCTATGATATGTCAACTGGTATGGAGGGTGTACCTGACCAGTTTATAAATGAGAGAAGATAGAATTATTTTACCAGTCCTGTGAGTTTCCTGTTTCAAAGTTTTGCTAGCTCCTGGAGGAGAAAACCATGGGACTGATTCAGGATCTTCCCCTTCTTCCCTCCCTTCTCTCCCTGCCCCTCCAACCTTGAATTTAGTATTGACTTGATACATAGTTTTGGATGGCGCCAGTAAGTATGTCAGCAATTATGTCTTTCAGAGCTTATGGCATGTCTGTGAAGGACCACAGACTGAGCCCAATACTCATCTTTCCCCATTCGCCACACACCAGGCATCCCTACCCCACTCCACAGGGAACCAGTTGCAGGGTAGTGCTCATCCTTTAAGACTGTGGTTTTCCTGGGAGAGGTGACCTTGGAGGAATAAAAAAGGTTCAGATCTATGTAGGGAAAAAAAAAGGGAAAATGATGAGCCAACAAAGTCAAGCATCTGTGTCTTTTTCCAGGTTCTTTTATAGTATTGCCATAAGTAGTTTTTTTTTTGTTGTTGTTTCTTCTTTCTTTTCTTCTTTCTGACTACCTGAAATGAGTTCATATTGAACTAGAAAGGAAATCTTTCATTCAGCCATCTTTATTTTTTCTGCTTGTATAACAACGGTCTTCCAGTAAGAAAAAGATTGTTTCATCTAGCTCAGTGCAAGACAGGAAGGTCTTTTAAATAGTGTTGTGTAATTATAGTCTGCTTATTTTTAACAGGCAAATCATGATTAAGTGTTTTTGTAGGAAAGACGAACTGATTAGCGAGTCCTGAGAGGGACTCACTAATGGGCAAGTGGTGTGTTCTATTATTTCTGTCTGCAGAAAAAAATGTTAATAATACTACAGGAAAAAAAAAAAGGAAACAAAAAACCCCCAAAACCCTCTTTGAAGTTTTAAAAAAAGCCAACAACAAAACAAAAACAGTCTGAATATGAGATATTGTGTGTATCTTCTGCTGCTTATGCCTCACAAACAAGCCAGTGGAAAGAAGAAAGAATGTTTCAGTGGTTCTTCGGTTTCTTTAGGGTAGGAATTTAATGCCATGTAATGTTTCTTCATTCTTTTCGCCTTGAGGAAAAACAAATTGTACTGTCAGTTATAAGTTTACCCAGGAAAAGATAATAGCTTGTATTTTTATTGTACTTTGAATTTTTTCTTTTGCTTGCATCCTGTTCTAATATTGTAAAAGCATATTTGCTTTGTGTCAGCTATCAAGAAATCTAGCTATGGCATTCTCTTTTATTCTTTTCTTTGTAAACATTTGAGAGTTTACCAAAGTGCTGTGTCTAAGTTTTTGATAACACCTCAGTTGTAAAGCACCAGGAAGCAGCATTTCTGCCAAAATCTACCCAGAGATAAAGATAACCAATATTTTTATTTAGGTGGCAATATGGCATCTCATTACCCCAGATTACTAAAAAGAATTATATTTTAATTTCTATTTAGTTTATTATCAAAAGCCTGTATCTTGGTCCACTGTAAGCAGTAAACTCTTCAGGAAACGTTCATGGGAACTCAGACACCACTTTGTCCAGAGAGCTTAAAAATAAGTGAAAGACAAAAAACAGATTATTTCATAATCTGACTAATGTATGTATTAGAAAGCATTCTGTTTCTAGTCCTGTCATATCCTGAAAGTGAGTGGTATAGGATATCTAATGCCTTCCTGGAAAGTTGGCTGTGTTTGTAGGAAAGTTTTCTGGACAAAAAAAAATCTCCTACTTGATTTGAGAGTAGTCAGGATCCATTCCAAAATAAAATATTTGCCTTTAACTCTGCAAAAGTTGTGCAGAGCAAGTAAGATGTGTTTGTATGTACTAAGTGCACTCCAAATAATTTTCAAGCTTATATAGTTTTGCCGTTAGCCTTCAACTGGTATTCTGCAGCTGCTGAGAATCCTGTGCAGTCCCACGGGCATTCTGAGGTTAATGGGGATGCCATTGAGGGCCAGGGCCATTGGAAGGAATATTGGTCCACTTGTGCAACAGTGTAAATGCCAGATTTCCTCCTTTACTTTGTTAATATTTATTGTGTTGATGTTCGGAGATATTTTCCTGTGAACATAAAGAATTAGCTTTGTGGTTAAGATAATTTAAGTTGGTGATTCAGGAGTACTGCTATGCTCTTTGGTCTGGGTAAGCACCCCAAACATCTTTTTTACCTGTCCTACTTCCTTTTCTCCCCGTCCCATGCCTTGGTTTCTGAAAGAAGAAAGTTGGGGACCTAAGCCAGGATAAAGCCACCTACATTTCCAGGGCATAGAATCCCTAAGTGTGCCAGGGTAGCCCCCAATCGCTCAGTCTCGACAGAGTTAGTTTCAGTCCTGCACTCAGGAAGCAAACTACAGATACATATTTGCATCTGTATACCCAATTGATTTAGAAAATCTCAGTCAGCTGCAAATTCAGGCAAAATGCCATGTCTACATAAAAGTGAACCTTCAGCACTTCTGCTTCCAGTTTAAATGCCATCTTACTATTATCAACCAGAGGATTCATGGATCAACAGCAGCTTGGACTAGTGAATTTTTAGACAGCACTAAAAAACAGCTTCTGTACATACAGTTCCTTTTGCACCATCAAACATGGCTAGAGAAAGTAGACTGAAGTACGACCTAGAAAAGACCCATTAAGGTTTGTTATTCCTCATATTAGCATAGCTATAGCATCCCATTTTGCAGTGCCAGTTCTCTTTCTCCAGAAACTGAAGGGGTACCCAGGAGAAAGGAGCACCAACTGCAATATGTGTCATGTTGCACAAATCTGTCTCATGAAAGTTTCCTTCAAATCCTGTGTGTCCTGTACTTTGGCCCACATCTGTAATTGCCAGAGGCCTTCCAGGAACCTTCTGACTATCTGACTCCATCTTGAACAACTCCTGGCAGCCTCCAGATCCCCATCAAGACACCTCTGACTCCTCTCATACTGCTGCAAATGTATAAAGCCAAGCAGTTGTATGGGACTGATGGAGGTGCATCCTTGTGCTAAGCAGAAAAGATGAGCTGTCCCATGACCATTCTGGGACATACCTGCTCTGAAGCATCTTAGATAATCTGAGATACACTGACACAGATCCGAGTGCCACATACTAGTAGTAGATAGGGAGAGGGAGCTTGGTGCCTAATCTGGAACAGTGTGGAAATGAGAAAAATAATTTTCATGACTTGATGTTTCAGGCCATGCCGCAGAGCTTGGTCTGGCTGTAAATGTGACAAAAGACAGCTCAGCTCTACATAATATTACATATTCTGTTTCTTACCACGCAAATCAGTCTCTAGTGATATATGTGATTACTGATAACTTTGCATCCTGTATTCATTTGCATCCTGTATTCATGTGTTTTCCTAAAGGAAGCAAATTTGCAAGACGCCCCCCCAAACCTGAAGCTACTTCAGGAAAGGCCCCGCTTCAGGTAAGGCCCTGCAGCATCACTAGGCATGGAACATGTGATCCTCATATTCTAATATATGCAGTTTTATGCCTGTAGAGAAAGCCACTGTATTATCAACAAAGAATTTGTGAGATTAAATTCAAACATTTCAAGGAACATGAAAACCAAACTAAGGGCAATTTTCTGGGTTTCTAAGTGTAGCAAGAGAAGGAGCTACAGCACTACTAAGCCCTTTTGAGAATAATTTTAGATTAATTCTGTCTGCCTGTCCTTTTACACTCAAGTTATTGTTATGAAACTAGCCTGGGCTGACGCTTTTTCCACCCTTTATTTATTTAATTTTGGGGGGGTTATTTTGTTGATTCTCTGGTCTATTACCAGTAATTACTGTAATTATTCAAGTTCTACGGGGGTTGAGGGTTACAGTCAGCGCAGGAATGGCATAAAAACAGAATTCAAGGGGATAAGGTGACGCTTCGCTGCCGCAGCTCCCCAGAGCGCCACCCTTCGGGCTCTT